CAGATTCTACCAGTGGGGGCATTCTTTGGAGCTAAGGGAAACATCACATAGAGATATGTATGGAAAAGCAAGCAGTCACTAAAAGTGATAAAGCATTGATCTGCTAATACTATGAACATGTTGTCCTGAATAGTTGACTTTAATAGTTATCCTAACAGAGAATCATGGTTTGGTCCCTAGCCCCTATCTACCTTCTCAATTTCATTTCTTGCCACTCTCCTCCTCCAGCAGACAATCCTCTCTACTTCCATGTCTTGTGCCTTCTCAGTATCTCAGATTTCAGATAAATGAGTTCTCACAGCAAAAGCTTTTCCTCATCACTGGACCAAAAGTAAGGCACTGCATTTCTTCAGAACACCAATAGCAATCCATCCTTCTGTTATCTGTATACTCTTACTTGCTTGATATCTGTCTCCTTCAGTACAGTATAAATTCCCTGAGGGCAAAGATCTTGAGTATATTATTCTCCACTATAATTCTAGATTCCACAGAGTACCTAGCACACTATCAAGCCTTAATAGATACTTGATAAATGAATGAATGAATGAATGGTATAACATTTCTAGAAGTTGTCTTTATTACCTGTACCAAAAGATCAGATGGGGGCCCGGGATTTAGCTCAGTGGTGCTGCCACCTGCTCTAAAAGAGACAACCTACAATGTGGGAAAAAATTTTTACCAGCTGCTCCTCAGACAAAGGACATTATCTAGAATATATAAAGAACTCAAAACAATCAGCCCCACCAAACATAAAGACCCAATTCAAAAATGGGCATCTGAAATGAACAGACATTTCTCAGACAAAGAAGTAAAAGCAGCAAGTAAATATATGAAAAAAATTTTCCACATCACTGGTCATTTGTGGGAAAAAATTTTTACCAGCTGCTCCTCAGACAAAGGACATTATCTAGAATATATAAAGAACTCAAAACAATCAGCCCCACCAAACATAAAGACCCAATTCAAAAATGGGCATCTGAAATGAACAGACATTTCTCAGACAAAGAAGTAAAAGCAGCAAGTAAATATATGAAAAAAATTTTCCACATCACTGGTCATTTGAGAGATGCAGATGAAAACAATGAGATTCTACCTCACCCCACAAAGAATGGCTGCTATCAAGAAATCAAACAATAACAAATGTTGGCGGGTTGTGGGGAGAAAGGAACCCTTCTCCATTGTTGGTGGGAGTGCAGACTGGTGCAATCACTATGGAAATCAATATGGAGATACCTCAAAGAGCTGGGATTAGAGGTTCCATTTGACCCAGCCATCCCTCTGCTGGGTATTTTTCCAAAAGAACTAAAAGAATCATATCACAGTGATATATGCACACCTATGTTTATAGCAGCACAGACTGTAATAGCTAAAACTTGGGAACAGCCCATTTGCCCATCCGTTGGAAACTGGATAAAGAAGATGTGGTTTTTCTATAAAATGGAATACTACTCAGCCATAAAGAATGAGAAATTAGAGTCAGTCATAGGAAAATGGATACATATTGAAGATATACTCTTAAGTTAAATAAATAAGTCACATATATGTAAATACCAAATAGTTTCTCTGGTGTGAAAAACTATAATAGTACACAAGATCCTGATGGGATATTTAATAGTGTGAAATAGGAAGAAAGGGCTAAAGGTGTAGGGAAAGTGGGAAGGGTAGGAGAAAGGGAATAAGGGAAAAGAAAAAATATGAGGAAAAGAAAAAAATGGAAATAAAGTGTTTGTAAATGGGGAGGGGAGAAGGGGGTGAAGGGAGGGCAGGAACAAGGGGAAAAAATGAGAACCAAGACCTGTCATGTGAAGGTACAGGATCCCAGTAATGAATGTCAATGTACTGTATACCTAGATTGTACCTATAAACTCAATTAAAAAATAGAAATCAAAATGTGTTACATATATGTGTAAACTTCCCACAAGGAATGTAAATACTGTGTGCTACACACATGTACTAATAAACCAGAATAATAAAAGTACATAAATAATCTTAAAATTTTAAATGTGCAGATTTATGCCCAGAATGTTCACCATGGAGTTGTTTATAAAAAGGAAAACTAAAAATGACCTGAATGTCCAGAAATAAGTATTCAATAAATTTTGTTTTTTTTTTTTTTTTTTTTTTTTTTTTGCAGTACCAGGGCTTGAACTCAGGGACTTACACTTGCGAGTATAGCACCAATGAGCTAAATCCCCAGCCCTGACAAAAAGCCCTAATGCCATAGAACCCCAATTTTGCATAATAAATAAAATAATTACATATTTCAGGTTTGGGGTATGACTTAGAGGTAGAACACTGGTGTAGCATGTACAAAGCTCTGCATTCAATTTCCAGCAAGTGGGTGGGTAGAGAAGAAGGAGGAGGAGGGAGGCAGGGGAAGAGGGAGGGAAGAAAAGAAGGAAAAGAAATGCATTTTCAAATCTAAGTAAATAGCTAATGCGTTGCTAATCACTGAAGAATTCAACACTTTTGAGTGGATGATTGACTCTTTATTCTCCAGAGGTTCGCAGTTTATGACATAAGTAAACTATTCCCAAACTCAGTAAGAGCTGGCAATAGGAACCACCATTAAGCCAGGAGAAAATGGATGAAAGCATAAAAATGACAAGACTGGGTGATGTAGAGAAGGGTACTACAAAACAGAAGAAGGGAAACAAGTAGGGAGCTGAAAGGACCCCTATGTTAAACTTCAATTCACTTATCAACAAATACTCTGTACCCACTAGGCCAGGTATTTCGATAGACTATAATGTTCCAAAGATGAACCATATATAATTGCAGCTTGCCCTGAAATTATAGTGGGATACAAAGGTAGGAAAAAAAATACATTAGGGTTTAATTATATGACTATGCACAAATATCCTGAATGTATAGACAGGGAGCACCTAAGTCGTGATGAAATGTGAATAATCAAAAAACACTTCCAAGGACCAGGGATTTAGCTCAGTGTTTCCACTGCCTGCCTCTCAAATGCAATGTCTCAAGTTTGATCCACAGTACCAAAGAGAGAGAGAAATACTTCCAAGAGAACATAAATTCACATTAAACCCAAAGGACTAAAATATGGAATTATAAGCAGTTGAGAAAACATAAGCAAAGAGGAGATGCATAAAATCACATGACTATCAAGGATGCTTTAAACTGCATATGACTCTTAATAGGACCCAAGGCATCTTCTGGAAGGTAAGCATCACTTTCTCCAGCTACCATATAAAATGGAGTTGAAAGCTGGGTGTGGTGGCATATGCTTATAGTTTCAACTTGGAAGGCTGAGGCAAGAGGAGTAGCCTGGGCAACATAGTGAAAACCTCTCAAAAAACAATAAAACAGCTGGGGATTTAGCTCAGTGGTTCTACCACCTGCTTTGCAAGTTCAAGGTCCCAAGTTCAATCCCCAATACAAAAAAAAAAAAAAAAAAAAAAAAAAAAAAAAAAAAAAAAAAAAAAAAAAAAAAAAAAAAAAAAAAAAAAAAAAAAAAAAAACATTTTAAAAAGGAATTGCCCAAATGACAAATTTGTAAACTTCTTTGAATATGTTTTTGTTGTATAAATCCAATTGCAATTAACATTTATCAATAAACCAATAAGTCTCTGGGATTTTTACCTGTTCTTTCATTTATACTCTAAGTATTGAAAATAAATAAACAGACAAACAAGTAAATAAGCTCTGTCTCAGCCACTGCTGGTACACTATGGTACAGGACTGCAGGTATTTGGAGCATCCAGACACAGCAGAAAATTGGAAAGGCAGAGAAAAGACTTTCTTTTAGCTTTATTGTTTATTTCCTGGAAGGAAAAAGAGGAATCAAACTGATTTAATAATCTGGGTACATGGTCTGATCAACATTTCCCTTGTTTTTAGGTCTTAATATCCACTCTTTTGTAAGGCATTTACATTCAATTTGGAGGGATACTGTGGTGTACAACAAGGACCTAATTTCTCACCCTGTGCCTCATACAATACTTCACAGCTACCCTTACGCTGACACCTACAAATAAAGAATCAGAAAATCTGAAGCCCCTCCCCTTCTCCAAAATCAGAGTCCCATGTGAACCATAACAACAAATGAAACGATGGCCATAAACACAAGCTGAGTTAATATTTAGTACATTAAAGAGTCATACAATATTTAAATTGTTTACCAAAAGAGCCTCAAGGCTCCTTAAAAGAAAAAAAAAAAAAAACGTTTAAGCCTTAGTCTAAAGTTTAAATCCTGACCGTGCTTTTTAAATCTTATTTTGAATAATTCAGTCTTCAGGAACAACCCATAATGCCAATCTGCTAGTGGAATAGCTAACAAAGCTTTCTCACAAGGTAATATACTAAAATCAATTCAGTTAGCTTCCAAAAGAGATAATCTACTATATTTTTAACTTCTTCACATTAAATATATTACATGACTCAAGCACACTTATTTATTAAACTTGTGTCTACTACCATTGCTTCTGTTCTCACTATTTTTAAGATCTTTAGAATATGTCTACACAGATATCACAAAGAATATATTTTTTTCTCCCACCTGTGGTTGAGATTTCCAGGTATACAATGTTAGATTATAAGCACAAAATTGAGATCACGTTTCAAATAAGGAGAATGCTCAGCTGCCCCATTTGTCAAGTACAGACATTTTTTCTGGTTATTTGTGCATGAATCATATCTTAAAAGTTGAAATTTTTAAAACAGAAATAATTTTTAAAGTTTATGAAAAGGAAAATCTTCAACCTCAAAGAAAGGTAAATTAGAACAACAGAAACATTTTAGTAGTAAAAAATGGTCGTAGACAAGTGTTGTTTCAGCCAATCCACCTATTACGGTATCAACACCTACTTTTTCTTTGAGAAATCGTCCTTCTCTTTTCCAGTAATCTTGATGAGGTTAGTAAACACCACTGTCCTGCCTCTCTCCCACCTTGGATGAGCACATGACATAGCCTTGGTGCACTACTGTCCCTCCCCAGGCTGGACATATGTCTATGAACAAAATGGGAAGTTTTCTCTTACCTCTGATATTAGACCAACATAACTTTACTGCTCCTTACTGGTCAACTTCTCCACTTGCAACCATGGAGGAAGTCCATTGTACAGGATACAAGAGAGGTCAACACAAAGGAAAACAAAGGGAGTATCTTAGTCATCTTCTTATCACTGAGACAAAATATCCAACACCCACAATTTAAAGAGGAGAGCTTTATTTTGGCTCTGATTGTAAGAGGATCCAACCCATAGTTGGCCAGGTATAAGACAGTATACAGAGAAACACAGTAATAGGGTCTGCTGCGGGAAAGCTGCTCGTGTCATTACATCCAGGAAGCAGAGAAAAAGGAGGAGACAAGGAGGGACCCTGGAGACAAAGGAGGTCACACTGCCAGTGACCTACCTTTTCCTACCAGATCCCACTTCCTAACAATAAGTCAGCTATAACGCTCCCATAATCAAGTCACCCTCTAAACACATAAGGCCTTGGGAGCCATCTTAGATTAAACTGTAAACATTCACCACTAACCCCCCAAAAGACTCATGTTCATCTTTTTTGCAAAATGCATTTAGTCAATCTCTAACAGTCTCTGTACTCTTAACAGTTCTGGTATTAGTGAAAAGTCCAAGCCCAAATTCTTTTTCAAGAGTCAAGACAGTCAGGCACAGTGGTGCATACCTATAATCCCAGCACTGGGGAGTCTGAGGCAGGAGGATCGTTCCGAATTTGAGTCAGCCAGGACCACACAGTGAGCTCAGGGCCAGACTGCACCACATAGCAAGATCCTGTCTCAAAAAAACAAACAAAAAACAAAACAAAACATAAAAAAGAATGTGATCAAAGCAAGATTGAAACCCAGCATGGCAAGCATAGCTCTGTGTCCAGCACTCAGGGCAAGTTGTGGCAAGACATGAACTCCAAAAGGCTTGCATGGTCCTGCCCCTACAACAACGCTGGTTGTAGCCCTAATGGCCTCTCTCTTTGGGTAGGTTACTCACTAACTATAGCTTTTCTCAGACATTCCACATCCCTGGCTTCACCAAGTTCCTGGGGTTTCCTAGGCATTTCTGGCTTCATTCTCATAGCTTCACAAACTGCCCTCTTAGGATTCACTGCCTGTCATCCCAGGGCTTTTTCTGAAATCTGGGTGGAAGTCTCCAAGATCCCATAGCTCTGGCATTCTTCAAGCCCATAAAATCAGTGCCATATGGAGGGTGCCAAGTTCTACTGCCACTTTGAACAGCAGCTGGGCCCCTGGACCATGACTGCATCTGCATGTGTCCAGCAGGGCTTTTTACTGCCATGTTTCTGTTCATTCTGGTCTCTGCACTTGGGGTGCTTTTCCTGTGGCTGCCATATTTCTAAATCCTAAATGTCTTTAGGCCTTGCTTAAATGCTGTATCTTTCATGAAGACTTCTTTGGTTCTTACTGTCCTCATGCCCCTAACCCCTGAACATCTCCCACAAAAGCATCAAACTAGAAATAATTTTTCCTTAACAATGCATATGGTACCCTGGACATCCTTTTGTAATGGTAAGATTTACATCTTCTTTGTTTTATAGACTTTAATGAATAGGTTTGTTAGCCTATAAAGCTATTCCTTCTTGAAGAAAATATTCATGCCCAACTCAGTCTTGAGTCTTTTGAGTACTTTCTACTGAACATATTTTCAACATTTATTTGTTGAATTAATATGTTTTCCTTATGACTAAATAAGTCAGTGTTTTTGTAAACAACAATAGTATAAAGACATTTTCTAACTAAGCAATAGAATTCAGATAATTATTTCTTGATAGATTCACATACTGACTGGTTTATGGTAAAGAGGCCTCCAGCTAGATAGAATTTTAGTCACGTTTTAGCAAACCTACATATTTATAATTTTTAGTATTAATTGTCAAATGCATTTAATGCAACACACAAGGATATTGTTTTTTTATTATGTTAGTATTTTTCCCTTACTGACACTTTTTCCATGTTTATGTCTAGAGCATTTAATCCTTTCATCATTCATTCTTATTAGATAGGTTCATTTTTTGTACTTACTCTTTGGATACAAACACAGGTTAAAACTATAATTTATCTAAACAACCATAGGACATGTTGTTCCTCACCTTTTTAGAAAGTGACATCATCTTCTCTTACATTATTTCTACAGATTCCGATAGAATCAATAATTCTCCAAAAGCCAACTGTATCTACAAATTCCTTCCTGAAATCCATATTTCACTATAATTAGTACATTTCACGCTGGCATTTAACTATTCTTTCAGATTTATCAAAATTTTCAAAGCTTTTGTTGTTTCTCCCTCTAGTGGTCAATAACATTCTTTAAAATGGAAAAATCATGTAAGAGTGTTCTCAGACACGGATCACACATGTAGAGATGAACATAAAATTTCATTGTAAATAAATATGAAGTATATCCAAATGGATGTCTAATAATTCAAGAAGTGATATATTTTTAGCTATGACACTCTATAGTCTTTGTGTATTAATGTCTTATACTCTAATAATTATTTAAATGTGTGCTACATAGTTAATTTTCTGTTCAGAAAAATGTAGTTTTCACCAAACTACCTGACATATTTGAGTAATGAGTGCATCTCTAAATAATTTTTTTTTTATGTACCAGAGATCGAATTTGGGATCTTACGCTTGCAAAGCAGGCAGTGGAACCACTGAGCTAAATCCCCAGCCCTTTAAATAATCTTAATTGGATAATTCTCCCTCCACCCTTCACTTAATTTGCTTTGGCTCTTTGCTCTTTTATAATATTCCCCTTTTAACTTGTAATTTTCTTGCTTATAAAATGTTTTGTACACTTATCTAATTAGAAATAAAATTTTAGATTCCATAATAATTTTGCAAAATAATGAAATGGTTAAATATGAGTGAGATGCTGGGGGATATATGTGTATATAAGAAATTTTTATTGCAAAGGTGAAACTATAATCAAGTATTTCTGAAGAGAACATGTTTTAATCTTTAAATTTTTATTTATTTCAAAGGATAAATAATGAATCATTTTTAAAAAGAACACTGTTGCTGAGTGTGGTGGCACACTCCTGTAATCCCAGCACTCAGAAGGCTGAGGCAAGATTGCTATGAGTTCAAGCCCAGCCTGGGCTACATAGAAGGTAAGGCCAGCCTGAAATACATAGCAAGACCCTGTCTCAAAAATAAAATAAATAAAATAAAAAGAACACTGTCAAACATTATGAAATAAAAATTGGTATGTTTTGCCAAGACCCACAGAATAGTATTCCTGTTTAAGAAGATAAAAGATAATTTTATTAGAGAGTAGTCATGTATTTTGTTATTCAAGTCCAGACACTTGAAAATGAATAGAACAATATTAATAATGTGAGAAAATAGGCATAAGCTGGGACTGTCTTGGGCAATTTGAAACATTCACTCTAACAGTTCTAATTTACAAAAAAACACAAATTCATTTAATTTATGAAAAAGATAAGCCAAACTGTAGTAATTATTTTACTAAAAAGACTAAAATAAAGTCACACATTCAGTCTTATTTGCTTGGGGATAAAATTATTTTTTCAAGGACCACTGAAGGATCATGAACCCTGAGTCTATCAGAATTTTTTATAGAGTGAACAAGTTGTTTCAATTTCCTCGGGACTTTCCCAGTTTTCAAATCGAAAGTTCCGCATTCCAGGAACCTGTCAGCCCCAGGCAAACTAAGAAACCTGATCATTCTAATCTCTTACAGCTACTTGTTAGCAAGATGGCATCATTTCCTTGGTCTTTGAGATAATTAATGTGAGGCAGGTCACTTAAGGCAAACCAAGGTCTCTCACCAGGACTGACTCAGCCCTTTCCTGATTGATCTCTGATTTAGCCCCAGCCTGTCTCCAACTGATCAGGGCCCAGTCATCATGACAAAGACACTACCGTCTTCAACCCTAGTGCCATAGCACATTCTGCTCCCAACACTGTTTTTCTGCTCCTCATCCATCATGAATACCCTTTCTCCTACTGAAGGCACCACTAGGTCCCCTCACAGCTGTGCTGTCCAGGACATTGTGCTGACATGGAAAGAGTTTTTACCATCTATGTCAGATTTCTACAGATTTCATTTTCAGGGAAAGATTTCTTCCTTTACTAAGACTTGGCATGCAGGAAAGAAATGAAAAGAGTACTATAGTTTTATTCTCAAAAGGAGGATAATGATATTAGGCAATTTTAAGGTGCATTGTAATAGTCACAGGTAAAGCTAACTATGGAAAATTGCTACTTAAAGAAATATTCTGCAATACTAACTATGAGATGCTATAATTTAGCAAATTTTAAATGTCTAATGCTGGTAACAGAACATTTTTGAAAAGGGGCACGATTTTTTCCATGAAAAGTAAAATACAAAGACTGGATGATTAACTTTGTCCATTATGGAACATGATCAACAGGACAACAGCTCTGGGCATCATTACAGAAACTTATTTCTTCTCCAGTTCACAGCCTACTCATCACCTGTTTGATGTTTGACAGGCATCACAAATTCAGCAGCAATAAAACTGAAACTGTCACCTTCTCCTACACTTCATTTGTTTCTCCTTTCCATTTCTTTTTTAAGGAGGAAAGGTATATTTTAGCTCACAGTTTGTAGAGGTGTTAGTCCATAGCCAGCTGGCTCCACAGCAAGGTGGCATGGCAGAAAGGTATGACAGAGGAGAAACAGTCCATGGCAGGGTAGGCAGAAAGCCTATTTTCCATTATTCTAAAAGTGCACAACCAGCAAGTCAGAGGTAGAAAACAAAAATTGAGGATTAATCTCTTTCCTTTCCCTCTCACCTATATTTCACCTCTCCTCCATTACAATGCTTCTTGGATGCTCCTATATGCTTTGGCAGCACATGTATTAAATTGCTTCTTAAACCAATTGTCTTAGCTCTCTCCTTACAGCCCACACCCTGGAAAGGTCACCATCCTCTCTCATAATAGTCTCAGTTGGATCTTCACAGTTTCCCTTCTCCAAACCTGTTACTATACTACAGCCATGTATATGATGTTATAGGCTGAATTGTGTCCCCCTAAAATTCACATATCGAAGCCTTAACTCCCAGTATCTCTAAACATGACTCTATTTGAAGATGGGGGTCTTTGGTTTCTGGGTTTGCTTTTTTGTCCCCAATGTTGGGGGCTATACTCAGGGGTTTATGCGTGCTAAGGAGTCACTTTATCATGGATATAGAGACCTACCCCTTTTTAAATTTTTCATTTTGAGGCAAGGTCTTGCTAAGCTCTCCAGTCTGGCCTTAAGCTTGTGATTCTCCCACCTCAGACTCTTGAGTAGCTGGAATTACAGGAGTGTACCACTGCAACTGTGGGGAGATGAGGTCTTTCATGAGGTGACTAAATTAAAAAGGGGCCATTAGGATGGGCCTTACTACCATCTTGTCGCTGTCCTTATAACAACAAAAAAAAGTGTACACCTAGTTACCGATAAAAGGCCATGTGAAATGGTTGCAAAAAGAGAAACACCTCCTGCCTTGCAAGTGCAAGGTCCTGGGTTCAAAAAACTCATCTGTCTTGAAAGACAAGCTTGAGACCCTTACTTCATTTGTGTCAGTCCCAGAAGGAGGTGGAGCTTGGTAAAAATATTATTCACAGGTACCATGCAAAAATAGAAACGTCATTTTGGAGAAATATAACTTTAGACAAGCTTCCATGAGGCTGTTAGGAGATGGATCTTGAGGAATCTGCAGTGGAGCTCATCAAAGACCAACATTTACAGGGTTAGAAGAAACTCCAGACTCCACATCA